GTAAAACTGACCCTCAAGAGCATGTTATCGCCAGCAACAACCAAATGGCGATAATCGGCTCCACCAATTCATTGAAATATAAACTGAGGGATGACACCTTCAAGGACGTGGCTCTACGATGGTACATAAGCCTACCACGACTATCCGTGGAAAGCTACACGGACCTAACGAAGAAATTAATCCAACATTTCTCTGCTAACAAACACTACAAAGGTGTCCGTAATTTGCAGGTTGAGCATGATTGTTGGAGGTAGAGATTGAGAGGGTGAGGGTCGTTGGTTTTGGTTTCAATTTTGAAAGTTGCAGGGTGAAAATAGCAAAGTAAGAGAAACATGGTGGTTGTTTGGAAGTTGGGTGAAGCACAATCACATAATTTGTAGGTTCCTCCTGCGAATTGCAAATTGGTTTGCGCGTACCAATTTGTGGTACTTTTGCGAATTGGTTCGTACAAATTCGTTTGAAATTAGTGGAAAATAAAGTACCCAAAAACCAAATATAAATTTCAAAGTTAAATGACATAATATTTATCAAATAAACTTGAAACTATAAAAACAAAATTTTAACTAATTTTTTAATTATGATGAGGTTTGTATAACTTTGATAAAAGTGAATATTAATAATCATAATAATTAATATTAAAGCTTTGGTGAACTGATGTTAGAGTTGTGAATATACATTAGGTATTTATAATTGATTTTTCAAAACAATATTAGTAATGTAGTCGATGTGGGACTACAAAAATTTTCTCCCAACCATTTTTCATTTTAAGTAAACCATTTCTTTAATAATTACGTATCGATTATTATATTTGAACGTATCACGAACCCAAATAACATATCGACTATGTATACTCCTTGTGTACCTAATTCTTTGAGAGATGCCAACTGCGTACCCGAATCAGTACCATGTACCGAAGAAAATTGTGAACTGTGTGACTATGGGATGAAGGCGAGGGTGGTTGGTTGGCGCAGGTTGCTTGTTGCGGTGGTATTTATTGGTGGAAGAAATGGAGGGTGGGTGTTATGGGATGGTGGTCGGCGATGAAATTGAAGGGAGAAGGAGCACCAAACCAAGGCGGAGGGAGTATTTTTGTGGTGGTTTTAGTATACGAGGAAGAAGAAGAGAACTTATTATCTTCACGCTTTTCCTTTTTTAATTTTTTTGCTTTTATTTTTTATTTTTTTTACTTCATTTGGTGAAAGAGAGGAGAATATATTTATATCACCCGCCTCCTCATATTGGTCTCTCCTATCTAGTTTTCCTCAACTTGTCTTAAATAGTCTCATTTAGGATTTTTTGTGTGCACTCAAAAATCTATTTTGCCCTCATTGATGTTATGATCTATTTTGTTTGAATTTTTTTACTAGTAAAATTAAATAACTATCAACATTAAATCTAAGCTAAATATTCATTTGATTGATTTTTTTTATTAAATGTAAATCTAAATAAATAAATATAATTAATTATTACTATTTTTTTTAAATGATGGATTAGATTGAAAAACTGAAACACATATTTTGGATTTTTTTTTAAATGATAAAAAATGTAATAAAAGGTGAATATATATATATATATATATATATATATATATATATATATATATATATATATATATATATATATATATATATATATATATATATATATATATATATATATATATATATATATATATATATATATATATATATATATATATATATATATATATATATATATATATATATATATATATATATATATATTTATTATTATCGAAAAATGAAATATTCAAATGATTTAAACCGAATAGAAAAATGAATGCGCGTAAAATGCAAAAATGCGAATGAATGAGAGTTGATTTTTTTGTTAACTTTAGTAAAAGTTAATTATTTTTTTTGAAATATACGAAATGCGACGATTAAACGAGGAATGCACTAGAATAAAATACAACATGCCCAGAAGAATGAAATGATGAAATTTCCAGATAATGAATATGATGTCTGGAACAAAATTAGGGCATGACTGTCATCATCAGCAGACTGCACTTCATCATTCAATTGTTGTGTATACACAATCTCTAAGATTGAAACCTAGCATGAGCCCCTCGGGTAGCTTCTAACTCCTCCAGGGTATCAACTAGGTCAACTCGCAGATAGTGTACCATCATATTCAACACATCATATTTGTTAATCTTGTCGTGGTATAAAAGTTTCCTCCCGATCGGAAGATGCAACAGGCACGATACATCGTCCAGTGTGATACACATCTCACCATATGGAAGATGAAATGATGACGTCTCTGAGTATCATCTCTTTGCAAACACGGCCAATATACCATGGTTAACTTTAACATAATCGATCTTGCATAAGTCTCTCAACCCAAATATTCTCAAATCATCTTAAAATCGATGCTCATTAGGCAACTGTAGGCTCGTAATCTTTTGGCCATGGTTGATGAAATTTAAAGCATCATGGTCCTGTAGAAAAATAAATCATAGTTAGAAACTTCTGATATTATAACAAACATGTTTTACAAAGAATGAATTAACTAAATTTTACCTCTTCGTCCCAAACATGTATGGTAGGATGACTAGGGTAAAGAGGAAACATTGACAAGTCTAACGGGCCTCCTCGAAACCCCTTGGGTTCCCGAGGTGCCTCATGTGCCTGGGGTGCATCTTTTGCCTGAGTTGTCTACGGTGTTTGGGGATGCCTCTAGTGCCTGAATAGGTGAAACATGTCTCCTACGGGAAGACAAAGGCAAAGATACATGAGTAGGTGACACCCGTCTCCTACGAGAAGAAGAATGCGGAGTTGCATGAGCCCTAAAAGCTGACGTCTCCGCATTACCGGGATAGAAATAACATGTGCCTACGATGGTTGAGTCTTTTCCCTTCAAACTGATGCATGCAGTGCAATCTTGCCGTACCTCAATTTGCATTTCCTATCATCCATAATGTCTATAAGTAAATTACACAAGCGTTATACATATGAAACACCATAAGGTCAAGCCAAAAAAAAGCAAAAAAAGCAGATAAATAACTTTCGGAGATGCATCTCCGGTTTCAGGGAATCAAAACGTTGAAAGTTTCTAGAGATGCATCTTTGAAAATTTCTACAACTCAGTTACGTCAATGGCGAAAATGCAACCCCTCTAAGCATCCAAAATAATGCATTGATCATTAAAACTATATATCAAACATGTTTCTCATTTATATAACATACATAAACTACCTATTACATAACTTAATCCTCAACTTCTACAAATGTATATTGAAAATAAAAAATTGAAAAATAAAAAACTTACAAATTGTGAGTTTAGTTTAGTGTTGAGTGTGCTCTTTGATCGACTTAATGTTGATGGAAGAAACTTTGAAGTTGGTTGAATAATTTTTGAGAGAATGTGAGTTAAGAGAGTTTGAGAAATTTTAGAGGTTTAAAGAGTATATTTGTAGAAGTGAAGGAGAAGAAGGATTTGGCGTCCTTTTTTATTAAACGTCTGAAGATACATCTCCAAAATTTAACTACAGATGCATTTATGTTTTTTTTTTTTACATAGCCTAAGGGTCTGATTCAGAAATGTGTGTGGTTGAAGTGTGTTTGAAGACGTATCTTTAGATTTTAGGAGTATTATTTAATTTTCACGAAGCTGTGATAGTTTTATAGGATTCGTTAAGCAATTTCTAATAAATTTTGTAACTAGATCCAATTCGAATACCATGAATAAATTTCTTTGGTTTTTATAAATAAAAAAAGTGTCCTTATGTTGGGAGGAATTAACATGCCCCCACCAAAATTAAACATATGCCACCTCCCAAATTTTTTTTAATCTAAAATCACTCTTGTTGAATTACAAATAATTTCTGATAGACTGGTTGAATTTTCTGGTAGATTTTACGAAATTTTTTGAAAAAAAAATTTCAATACTAAAAATTTCAGTGTATTTGAAATTTTCGATATGATATCAGAAATTTCAAATACACTGAAATTTCCGATAGCGATTTTTTTTTCTCGAAAAAATATTGGATTTTTCAAAAAATCCGGTATTTTTTCAAAAATTTCAGTATTTTCCCAAAAATATTTAGAAAAATCCGTTTTTTTTTTTTAATTTGAAATTTTTGAAAAATACTAGAATTTTTGATATACCACTGAAAATTTTGAATTTTTTCTGTGGAAATTTCAAAAATACCAAAATTTTCTCGAAATTTCCTATACACCCCCTAAATTTCCGGAAAAACTTATGTTTTTTGAAATTTAGTGATTATTCACAAAGATATGATGATAAAAACATACCCTTGAGACGGTAGGGGCGTTGCGAGTCAACTCCTCTTTTTTGGGTTGTTTGCTTATAAAACTATGATAAATAATTATTTTATAGCACAAAAAACTAGAAAATAAAATTGAAAATTTATATTAAATTATATCCCAAACATATTTTTTTTTCTAAAACCCTAAATTTCTATATGTATTAACCCTGAGTGAGCATGATACTAGGGTAATTGTTGGTTGGTTTACACATACAAGGGGAGACCCATTTTACCAATTTTGATTCCTTCATCACTTCCCATGAAGAGGCCACGGTGGTTGATGCTTTGGTTAATGATGAAAGGTTTAGACCAATCGTCCTTGTCCTCTTCCTACATTTTATCCTCAAACCACACAGTTAAATAAAAAAACTCCGTTCAGAATGGAAAAGAACAAAACATTTATGACTAAAGGGATTCCTATCTCCATTCTTCTTTGCTTCTGTTATCTGCCAAGCAATATCCCATGGATTTTAACTCAGCATAGAACTAGCACAGACTAGCTGCAAATTATATCCATATCTGTAATAGCATTCATCTTTTGTATGTAAAACATGTTAATGTTACATGATTTGTAGTTTAAGAAAGGATTACAGGTTTAAAGAGCCTTACGACAAAAGATGAAAACTTAAGCCAAGACCTTTAGCTATAATAATGTAATATAGTAGTATACTTTATAGCCAAGAACTGAGCCAAAGTAGTATAATTTATAACCTCAGAACATTAAGAGATTCAATGAACATTGTACTACAAATACTTCAAGTAATAATCTAGTCAAGAAATAAAACAACACACCCAGTGCTATTGACACAGGTAGTGCAGGCAAGGCTTTCTGATAAAAAGCCAAAAGCATCAAAGTTATGCCGAGACCTGCAATAATTGCGAGATAACATGCATACACTGTCATAAAATCATACATTGCAGCCCTGCCAACCAAAACACTATAAAAGATAAAATCGCCAAGCCCCAATTTGATTGCACCGGACGAAGCCAATCCAATTCCCTCCAACATCAAATTCTCATTCGACGCAGCATCTTCTCCTATAGGAACCCGCACATTTCCATGACCAAGCAACGGCGTGGCAAGATCTGAATCAGTTTCTCGAACCTGCACTCGCCCCTCTTCCGCTTTTACCAAGTTACAAGGCCCATAAGAGCTACTAGAATCCAAATTCGAAGCACTTCTGTTTGAATTTGAACTAACAACAGCGTTCGCGTCTTGATTGGAGTGTGATTGTTCAGCATTGAGTCCACTACCACCCAACACAGGATTTTCATTCTCAGTTATCAAATTTGAATTCTCAATCCTCCGCTCTCTCCATAACCTCCTCCGAGCCGCAACATCATCCAACCTATCATTACTCACCGGCCTAGCCTCGTAAACCAAAGCTGGAATCTCTTCATCTCTTGAAATGGCAAGTTCAACCAAAAGCCTTAAAGGCCCAACAGGCAACAAAACAGCAGCAAGATCATACAAAGCCATAGCAACAAGCATGGCCCATGTTGTCCATTCAGGCAACATAGTAAACCAATAAGCAACCAATATTCCAATAACAACCAAATACCCTTGTGTAACAAAAATGGCCATTTTCGACATAAACACAGCACAAACACCAACAACAGCGAAATTAACCAAAACAATTGAAAACGTTATACAATCAATTGGAGTACTAAAATGTTGAATCAAAAACACAGAAATTTCGCCTCCGAGGAAACCTAAAACGACGAAAGAAGAGAAAGCCATGTAGAGTTTTAAGAACCTGATACATCGGAAATAGAAGAGGAGGACTAAGAAGAAAGTGGTGAAGGTTACAACGACTACGAAGGATAAGGAGTTTAGAAGTGCGCCGAGGAATTTGTCCCAGGAAGAATCTGAGGTTGTTTCGTCGTATGCTATGTTGGCTATGGTGGAGATTGTTGGGGAATCGTTTGTGTTGAGAATTGAGACTAGGATTACAACGAGGAACATGCAGATTGAAACGGGAGTGATGATTCTAACGATTTCTTCGCCTAGAGTGTCGAGAACGGTTGATGAAGATGAAGGTCTTCGGATTTCTGCCATTGTTGTAAAGAGAGAGTTCAGATCGAAAGAGTGTTTTGATACTGTTGTGGCAATCATGGATGCTTGTGTCATCATCTGCTACCTCTTTCTTCGATAATGGGCCGGGCCTAAACATCAGGTTTAGGGTTTGCTATTTGCACCATGTTTACTATGTGTGTGTTAAAAGGCTAAAAAGGAAAAGAAAAAAGGAAAAGAAAAAAAGAAAAGAAGAAAAAAAAGAGAACCAAACTAAACTATTATTCAAAAGAAAGTTTTTATGTCATTTGCGAGGATGTGGTTAAGTCTCGGGGAAGAGATATGTGGATGAGGAAGTCTTAGTTAGAAGAGTCGCCTAAGTCTGACCATGAAATTAGGTGCGAGGGACTTTACAGTGAGTGTTGTATTGTAGAATATGTGATATTTTGAATCATAACAACATGTTTGTGTTATTTATTAATGGGAAACTCAACGGAGTTGATATAGTGAGAAGAGTATGTGTAGCAAATTGACTGATTTGTAATCCTTTGTGGTGAATATGCCTTCATAAATTGCAAATTTTTTATCTGGGATGATATCAAAAGAGTCTTTGATATGGAAAAAAACTCCTTGTCACGAACCATACGAGTAGTGAATAATCACTTTGTAGTATATTCTATTAAGGATGCCAAGGAAACTACCATAAACCTTTATAATAATGCAAGAAAGGTCGATGGAGTTCCATTTGACGAGTCTCTCAATATGTTGTATGTTGTCAGAGTTGTTAAATCAAAACTGGAACTAATTTTCCATGTTGTGGGTCAACTGAGAGAGGAGGTAAACAAAGATGTTATCATGGGCGATGCAAGTAGAACTTCTATTCCTTCTGGCCCACTAGACTCCTATAACAAAAAGATTGTCGCGATGGTTCAACACGTCATTTATGAGCCAAATAAATTATATTGGGATATGAAGAAATCAACGTTAGAAAATCTAATATTTATCCAAATAGATTTTAAGTCATCGTAATCTCATACGCTTTGAAGGAAAGTTATGTCTTATAGATAAAAACGAGTACTAACTCTCAGGGGGTTGGCCTAGTGATGAAGATTTGGGTCCTAAGAGTAAGTTCCTCTCAAGGTCTCAAGTTCGGATCTCACTAGGTGCAAATAATTCTTGTGTTGAGTAATGTCCATATAGAACTTTGCTCTAGGTTTAAACAGGGCCCCAAAAATATGGGCCGTGAGATATGCTTCATTGGATTAGTCGGTCGCAAGGCCAGATACTAAGACTTCAAAAAAGAAGATAAAAATGGTTGTTCATGGTCAAAGTGCTTATATTACGGTGATGCAAATGGATATAGCATAAGTTGAGTTATTTTTAGATATCCAATGAAAGAATTTAACTTTTTTTATGGGAGACATAACTTCCATATCCAAGACAAGGAATGATCAGGATCTAGTTGATGACTAATGGCACATTCTTTGTTGTTTAAGAGCCATTTCTGGCAGTATAATTGTCATTTGTATGATTAAACCAAATGAAGTTTTCTTCAATGTGATTATTTAAGTTAATGTTTTTGTTGTTTACCTCTGTAACAATATATGGATGAAGCTTGGTGAATAGATGATTGAGTTACATGTGAGCTTGTTGAGAAAACATCCTTTGAAGTTTGAGCAAGATCATGAAAGCCCACGTACAAGACAATGGCTAGAAGGGGGGTATAAGGGAGGTCTAGTGAATGAATTAGAAGGATGGTGACCTTGATTAAACCCTCCCATCAAAACCATTTGAGCATATTCTTGGCTTGATTATGGAATTTCATGTGGGTGAACCTGTAACAACAGAGTGCGATAAAATGCAGGAACCAAAAAGATATATGTTGAAGATATTGTTCTTAGATCTAATAAGATGCTTAAAGCACGTCCTATACAAGTTTTCCATAAAAAAATGTTGGAATCCGTGGATGAACATATTACGAGTTCACTCTTTTTTTGATCTGACAATCATATGCCATTTTACCAATTTAATAGATATGTTGTTATTTGCCTTCCATATGAATTTGTGTGTCATCTAGTCTATGTGGTATCACAAGTGCTATGAGGGAGCCATATGTTTTACATGTATTAAAAAGGGATGGAAGTGAGGAAAAACGAGGCTAGATCCAATCTTCAAGGCTTGTTAATAAGTTTGTTTTTCCAAGAGGTCAGACTAGTTTGCAACTTCTCTAAGAAATAATTGAAGTCATTATTTTGTAATTTAACTTTTTAGAACATATAATCCCATCTATTTAACTAGGGATGTAGTGTTATGGATACCTAAGGTAATTGTGAGTTGGTGGATTTATAATCCCAAGATGTTAGAGATAAGAAAACATGAGACTTGGCGGGACTAATCTTCAAACATAGGGTATAACTGAAATGATAAAAAAGGTTATAAATACACCTCAATTAGGACATATTTGTCTTGGAAAACAAGTGGATATCACCAACAAATAAACTATGGGAGAGGCAAGGTCCTTTGACAAAGATACAAATTAGTTTCCAGTAACCACTTTGAATAACACCTGATACGGAAATTAAGAGCATTTTCGTGCAGGTGATGAAAAGATAAGGAGAGAGTGAATGCCCTTACGGAAGTCGGGTGAAGGCTTGAAGGATGGCATTTTATTTCCATTCCATTAGATTAACATTGATGAGGAGGTGAGAAAGTACATGATGTGCATGATGGTGATATGTAGGAATCTGAAATTTGAGGGACAAGTTCTAAATAATTCCCAATTTACATTGTCGAAGGCCTTTTTCAGATCAAGTTTTAAGAGTTATCTCCTCTTTTATTCTTTGACTTCTGCTCTGCGGAGATAATTTCTTACAAAATAATAGCATTCTTAGTAGTGTGATCTAGGGTGGAAAGTTACTTGGTAGAATATGATAAGGGTATCTAGAAAGGGTCAGAGGCAATTAACAAAAGTTTTCTTTTTTATGATCATAGACAATAATATAGAAACTAATAGGCCTTAAATCCTTGATAGTAATAGGTGAGTCTTAGGCTTGGCAGCGAAACGAGACAAGAGCGATTTTAAGCATTACTAACCTCTCTCCTAAACTTAGTTGTGGATAACAATTGTTTTCACCCTCAACAAAGAACGAGTTTCCCTAGCCGCCTCCGCCCACATGAAGTGTAATTTTTTTTTAAATACATATTTTTTCCATAACAATAAAAATCAATAATTAAACTAAATACTTTATCATTTTAAAAATAATTATAATACTTAGTTATTTTCATTTAATCTATAATTTTAAAAAAATGAATAATAATTCTAATAAATTTGATACTTAGTTTAAAAAAAATGAATAATAATTCTAATAAACTTGATTTATGTTAAGAGACTTAATATCTTAAGAAACTTAATAGTCATGGTTGAATTTGATAGAGACTTCTTGCATAATTTTTTTGATGGGCCTTGGCCCGTATTTCTTTTGAGACAAAAATTGGTGCTTTTTGGAAGCTTCTTCGCATTTCTACATAAACCCATTTCCTTAACCAGAAAAAAAAAACACAAATATCTTGCTTAGGGTTTTAGACTCAGACAAGCTTCAGCTAGAACGCAGGTTATTACTAATACAAATCTTCTTCTCAAATCGTTTCTCTTCACGCTTTTCTTTACTATTTCATTTCTACGATTCTTTCTTTCCTCTTTCCGATTCGTTTCATTTTCTACCGGTGGATAATTTTCTTCGAATTCGTTTTGAACTAAAATGAAGAATTAATTTTCTGATCCTAGGGTGAAATTAGGGTTTTGTGATGTTTAGGATACTGATATTGATTAATTTGTACCGAATATTGCCACTGATGCTTTATGGTTCTCTCCAGGTTACGATTCACAACAATGGCTTTCTTTGGTAAACTTGGGAATATTCTACGACAATCTACAAACAGGAAGATTATTTCGGAATTGCGTCCGGCCCCATCGCTTTTCCAGGCTATAAGATGCTTTTGTTCTGCTCCAACTACAAAGCTATTTATTGGGGGTGCGTTTGAAATACTTTAATAAGTTCTATTCTTTAGATGTTTATTCTTCTTTAAAGGTTTTTATACATATCTATTTGGCATTTTCCTGGCATAGGTATTTCATATTCGACTGATGAGCCAAGTTTGAGGGAAGCTTTTTCAAGATACGGCGAAGTACTTGATGGTAAATACTTTGACTCTATGATTTCTTTTGGCACACATAGTCATGAGTTTTTTTGTCTGGTTTTTATTTTCTCAATTGGTTTTTACTTGGTACTAATCTCTTTAATGTCTCACTATTTATAGCTAGGGTGATTATGGATCGCGAAACCGGTAGATCCAGAGGATTTGGCTTTATCACATTCAATTCAGTTGAGGAGGCATCTAGTGCTATTCAAGCATTGGATGGTCAGGTAATACAACTTGTTAACATTAGAGGTGCGGGCATCGGGAAATGAACATGTTTATTTGCTGAAACTAAATATTTTAGCCATTTAATTATGTTATTATGCATTCTTTTTATGCACTTCGTCTTTTAATTTGTTGATAGTTTGAAGAATGATTGCTCTTTAGTGCTTTGTCATTAACTAGTAATGTGGACCATCCTGTAACATCTTTTAAAACTGCTGTGTTAATTTATGATGCATAGATGATATAGATTATGGTTTCAAATAACATACTTCATTGTGTGATGCACCTACACAGCATCACACTACAACTGTAATAGTTTTGCTAATTACTGTAATATCCCATCACACCACTTCCTGCATCTTGCTTTGATAGGCTTTATTTATAGTGCTCGTGGAAATCATTTTTCCAAATCTTCATATTACTACGATGTGTGGTAGGTAGGTCCAGAAGAAATTTCAAGGGTTTGGAATATTTTAATCATAGTGAGTCTGAGATTTTAAGAGACTTGAAATTTTAAAGAATAGTCATCATAACAACCTCAATACATATTGCAACAGTCCAATACCTGCAATTGCAGTGGCGACAATTGCATCTCTGTCCGCAAGCACAGTTCGAAGTCATGGTAGACATGCCTATTGGCCTTATTTTGGCATATCTAGATGATGGATGTTGTCTGTCTCCACTGTCTCGTTGGCTGTCACTGTTGTATTGTGGAGTCATTTAATTGTGCCACCACCACCAGTTTACATATCAGTTTGGATTTATAGTTTCCATTATTATTTTCAAACTAAAGGCAAATATTTTAGTTGATGGCTAGATACTCCAAAGAATCTGACAACCTTTCCTTGAGCTCTCTTAGTTTTCCTTCACATGATAGGCTAGTTAAGTAGAATGATTTAACTTCTGTGTGGATACATTTTCAGTTAATCATAGGCGATGCGTGCAAATGTGTTTTTTTTCTTAGCGATGCTTATCATTGTATAGTTTTATTAATTTAATCCTCTATTAACCTTTTTTCCCCCCGTAATTTTGCAAATTTAATGACTTGCAATGAGCTGCAACTTTTAATCTAGTGTTTCATTACGTGTTAAATTTCCAGGACCTTCATGGTCGTCGAGTTAGGGTAAATTATGCTAATGAAAGGCCTCGTGTATATGGTGGCGGCGGCGGTTCTTATGGCAATGCACCATATGGTGGTGGAGCTGGGTATGCAGGTGGTGGTGGAGGTGGCTATGGTGGAGGTTACGGTGGTGGTGGCTATGGTGGAGGTTACGGGGGTGGTGGATATGGTGGAGGCAGCTCTGGGCCTGGAGGGAATTATGGGGGCAGTGATGCTGGCAATAACTATTCTGCTCCCAGTGGAAGTGGGGTGAGTTATGGGAATGATGGCAGTGGTGGTTTTCCTGCTGACTTTGGTGGTGCAGGTAGCGGTGCTGGCTCTGCTGGTGGACACCTTGATAGCAATGACAGTGGCAATGTAAATGAGGATTTTGGAAATTTTAAGGATGACAATGATGATGACACTGATAATTTTGCCAAAAGGGTCTGATGGAATTTCAGTTCGGAGTTTTCTACTGTCCCTGTACTGCCTCTAGCTGCCCCTCTTAAACTTCGAAAAACTTCAGCTGGAGACCGATTTTTGGCATGGTGGTAGTTTTGACCAACAAAACACGGTGAAGAATGTAATCGATCTCAAGCATAGGTTTTCCCTTATCTCTTTAAGCTAGGGTCATCCCATTTTTACTGCTTAACTTGAGGTGATTTATCATTTGACTAAATTGAGATACTTAAACAGCATGTAAAAATCAATGAAGTGTTTGCAACAATTATCCCACTGCGTGGGAATTTTATTTATCTCCTTTATTTTTAAGTGGTGATAATTACTAGTTTCTGCACCTAAGATCCCGTTTCATATTTTCATTTATCTCCTTTGTCAAATATGCTAGTATACTTAGTTCAAGTGTTTAATATGTCTTTTACTAGTTCAAGTGTTTTTCTCAAGAGTTGTTTATAATCAAACATTTAAATTAATATTGCAAACCGGTTTAAACAAGAACTCAAATATATACGATACATTTTAATTTCTCTTTTTTTATTTTTGTCAAAATCAGTCTGAACAATTTATAATTTGTGATTTTTTGTAGCTTAATGACAAAACACCATTTTTTTTTGTAGTTTGTAGACTGTGAACTAGAAATTGGTTTAATAACTTTATTTTAGTCATGTTTATTAATTTGGGGTTCATTTTGATTTATAGCGAATGTTTGGATACGCTGTAAAGCCAATCGCACGTTTGAATGAACTCTAAAGGTTAACCTTTAGACAGAAGAGAATGCAAAATAGAAAAGGGAATTTTTTATTCACTTCATATTCAAAAGAAAGATCCTTTGTAATTTCAAAATTGCTTTTCGAATACTGGAAATGTATTTTTGGTTCACACTATATTTTACAAAAATAGGTCAAATTTGGTTTTATCCATTAAAATGTAAAAACAAAATCGGAGATATATTTTCGGTTTTGTATTGGTATTATGTTTTCGATTTTTAGAGCGGGAAGATTGGTTTTTTTTGCCACTTTGTCATTTTGTATATAATCGGAGATATACTTTCAGTATTATGGAAAATTTATAATGCTTAAAACAGTAATCAGTATAGTCATTTGTGATCAAATTATTTCTTCTTTCCATAAAACCTCTCAAAAACTCTTTCATTCTCAATCTATTTTCCACTCTAAATCTTCATTTTTGTAGTTCATATCAGAAGGAGTTCAAAGAAGTGAGAATTAAGGTAAAATTTATTCATTTTAATCCTTATTGTTTACATTAATCTGTTCATTTTTGTGGAAAAAGATTACGCAAAAATCAGATGTATACTTCAGGTTGGTAGTTGAACATAATTGGAAATGCACTTCGGATTTCTGTCGATGTTTATTTGACAACTTCTGCCATGTTCTATGTAAGTGTTAATAAGTTTTATGTATTTTATAACATTAGATATGGTGCATTCCGATAACATTTCCAAATCTAATATGGCTCAAGTTGTTTCAACTCTCGTATCTTCTATCGTAATTAAGGTGGTATATATTCGTGCGTATTTTAAAAATGGAGAAGAGTTTGAATTACATGAAGACATGTTGTAATGGATTCGTATAGAGGCTACTAAACTAGGATTTGATGTGTGATTGGAAGGTTCGATAATGGTACGGATAGAAGAAATACATTTGTGATTTTGATATGCGAAAGAAGTGAAAAATATATTCGTCGTATTCAAAATTTGAAATGCGACGTCACCGATTCAAGAAAATGTGAATGTCCATTTAGGTTGCGTGGTTCTCTTTTGGCAAATAATAAATAGAGATTTAATGTGATATGTGGTTTACACAACCATGATTTAAGTCAAAAGTTAGCTGATCATTTAGTTGCATGTTGGCTCCTTCTGGAGGAGAAGACATGTGTTTCAGACATGACTTTGAACTTGGCCCAAAAACATGCTTGCAACCTTGAAGCGCAAAAGACCCGAGAATACATAAAATATCAATTAAGTTTACAATAGGCACTATCAATTCAAACTAGTGGGGATCGAACCGAGGTACGAAACCTCTTGAAACTTCTAGATGAAAATAATTATGTTTGTAGACACCGACGAAGTGATGATGGGGTAACAATAGGATATTTATTAGACTCATCCTGACTCCATTAAATTGTTCAATACGTTTCCCACCGTGCTCATAATTGATTCAACATATAAGACCAACAAGTACATTCTTCCATTGTTGGAAATTGTTTGTGTTACGTCGTCTGACAAGACGTACTCTGTTGGTTTTGCATATCTAGAGTGTGAAAAAGAGGATAATTTTGCAAGAGTTTTAGAGGTTTGTAGGTCAATGTCGAAGGATCAAGAAGATGTGTCGAAAGTTATTGTTCCCGATCGAGATATATCATTAGTGAATTCAGTTGCAACTGTATTTCCTACTTCTTACGACTTACTTTGTAGGTACCATATTACTAAAAATGTGAGAAGTCGGGTTAAATATGCCGTGGAGACAAAATAGAATGCAGGTGAAGATGGAAAATTGGTAAAGGCGGGCGTCATTATGGAGAAAATTATAGATGCATGGAGTGTTATAATAAATGCATCTATAAAAGAACTATACGCTAGTTTTGTTTTACAATTCAGGAATGTTTGCGTGTGTAATACAGTGGAAGAACTGACTTGGGTATTTTTGCGTTTTATCGTAATTATTACAGATAGCAAGAGTCGCCACCGATTTTTCTTTTATCTAATAAAGGAAAGGGTGAAAATAACATGAAAGACCTTTGAGATATTTTCTTGAGTTCGGGGGGTAGGTTATGAAAAGGGAAGGTGTTAGCACCATTTTCATCTGTAGTTATCTACGGGCTCTTAGTTGCTTGCTAGATCATTTGAAAGTTGCTTTGTTTGAAAATGTGCTTTGTGGTATAAGTTTGAAAATATTTTGAAAACGCCTTTGTTGCGTCTAACTTTGTAATGATTCTCGTCTCTATAAGAATGTATACAAAGTGTTGGTTTTGAAAATAGTTCAAAGAGATGTTTGTTTTTGAAAGATATTTTGAAAGTGTAAGTGCGGAAATGGTTTTAGTTTGCGAGCAAGCAACTACGAGTGTCCTACCTACTCAAAAGGTCTCTGTTCTTTTCATCCTCCTTTAGATGTTGCTATATTACCATTGATTTGGTAAGAAGCCCCATCATTGGATGTGTAGGAACAGGCGCGGGTCAATCGTACAGTCATCGAAGATAACTTGTGAGACGCTTTAGCAATCTTCGTAAGGGACTAGATCGTTTTACCGAAGGCAACATCGAGAGACATTGAGGGACTACAATCTTTTTTATCAAAGGGTCTTTGCTAAAGTGTACCATATTTGAGGGACACGACTATATTTTTTCGAAAGCAACGAACGAGGTTACCCTAGAGGTGCGCGTGTGAAAAGTGTGTTTGATTCAAGTTAATTTGTCTTTGATTAGGTTATCTAGCGGTTAATTTTATGTCTTGCCATACATGCCTAATTACAAAATAATATAAAGGAAAACAATAAATTGTGGAAATTAAAATTCTACGCTATTACAGAGCTTTCGGGGATGGGGAATATAAATTTATAAATAGGGATGAAGTATAAGCCTAATTAAACTATTACAAGCCGTAAACAATTACAATAATCGAAAGAACGCGAAAATAGTAAACTACATAAAAGAAAAGGGAAATAAAATCGTTTTTCGGTGTGTTCTTGGCAGAATAACGACACGTGGAAAATTAGCATTTGGATAACATTATGAAAAAAACAAAATCAAACAAATCAATTATTAGCTAAACAAAATGTTGGAAACTTGTTAACTAAAAAGAATGAGATATTAAGTCTAAAGTAAAAATTTTACTTAACTAAAAAAAAGAAATTTTACCCAAAAAAACAAAAATGCTTAGGAGAAACTCTTCACTCTCTCTCGATTCACTCTCTCTCGATTCACTCTCTCTTCTGAAAACTCAAACTTCCTCTATTATCTCACTCTCTTTCGATTCACTCTCTCTTCCGAAAACTCAAACTTCCTCTGTTATCTCACTCTCTTTCGATTCACTCTCTCTTCCAAAAACTCAAACTTCCTCTGTCATCTCACTCTCTTTCGATTCACTCTCTCTCAATTTACTCTCTCTTCTGAAAACTCAAACTTCCTCTGTTATCTCATTCTCTCTCGATTCACTCTCTCTCAATTCACTCTCTCTTCCTAAAACTCAAACTTCCTTTGTCATCTCACTCTCTTTCAATTCACTCTCTCTCGATTCACTCTCTCTTCCGAAAAATCAAACTTCCCCTGTTATCTCATTCTCTCTCGATTTACGCTCTCTCGATTCACTCTCTCTCGATTCGCTCTCTCTTCCTAAAACTCAAACTTCCTCTGTTATCTCACTCTCTTTCGATTCACTCTCTCTCGATTCACCCTCTCTTCCTAAAACTCAAACTTCCTCTGTTATCTCACTCTCTTTCGATTTACTCTCTCTTGATTCACTCTCTCTTCCGAAAACTCAAACTTCCTCTGTTATCTCACTCTCTTTCGAAAACGCAAACTTCCCCTACTACAACTCTATTCCATCTTCCTCTCTCAATGTCCCAGATAGTACAAGTGGTTCCAATACTCGAAGTCCCGATGCGCTTCGACTCGATTTAGTTCCAGTCGAAGGAGGTTATCGGGGCACAAAACTCACTAGTTTTGCTGTTGTTGAAAAGGGAAAGAGCCTTGGCGAATTTTCGCAGACTTCCCAGAGACGGAGATAGACGCCGGAGGTGGAGAGAAGGTCGGAGGAGGTTTTTTGGATGGTGGAACGGGTTGATGGATGGAACATGAGTTTGGTAGGTGGATAAGGGTGATCGAAGGACAATGAAAGTTGGGGTTTAGAGAGTAGTGGAAAAAAAGAGGTTGGGGGTGGTGAATTGGAGATTCAGACGGTGGTTATGAGGTTTAACAATAACAACAACAACTGAAGTGGCCCAAATTTTGATTTTTTTGTCTCGATTTCCTTATT